ATCTTTTTTATCACTACTGTATTACTGTATTATTATGCGGTGTCAATATGTTCAATATGATTAGTTGTCATGATAATTATTGTGCCTTCTGATAATATTTGCCCATCCAAACATCCAAGAAAATTAGATAAACTAATAAATGAAAATAAATCTTTATATTTTGATAGATTATCATTTTCTTTTATAAAATCTTCAGACATAAAGTTATAATAATTTGGGTGACTAACACCTCTTTTATAAAGAATATTTGATTGTGTATTAACATCTTCAAGAACAATTATTTGATTCGGTGGAACAGAACTAAATGCAGCGCTCATATCATTATTATTTTTAATTTCTTTGAGATTAAGATAATAGAGATCTCGTGACAAATAAGATGATATGGCATTTATCAATGTAGTTTTTCTAGTTCCGGGTTTACCATAAAAAAAGAAAACCACATCGATAAGGCAAACCAATTCTCTTATAAAACTCTTTGTCATTAACAAAAGAGTCTAATTCTCTTTCAATAATATTTCTTGTGGTTTATCTAAAATGACAGTTTCCAAACCATTCAAGTCTGGTAAAAGCTGAACTCTGCTCCAATTTCCTTCATTACACTTATATCGTGCAAGTTTATGATTTTTTTCTTTTGTTTCAAAATAAGATCTTGTCACTTCGCTAATGAATTTAGTAATCATATTAACATCAAGTCTGCTGTTATTTGAACTTGAGTCATTGTTAATAATTGATAAAAAAATAGAAGGTACTGGATTGGGTTCTTTATACTGTAGTATGATTGAGGTTGAGGATAATTTTGATTATTGTTGTCATTTTCTTGCAGTTTATACACAACATTGAATTTACGACCTCTGTACTCTATACTAATTTATTGTTTCTTTTCAGGCAAAATATTAAAATCTGGCATTTTATATATATTATACTTTTTATTATCATGACAACTAATCATATTGAACATATTGACACCGCATAATAATACAGTAATACAGTAGTGATAAAAAAGAT